CTCACCCACTGACTAAACTATCTGCCTCCCAATCTACTTTTAGAAATTCTATCAACCACTAGTAAACCTGCAGACTGAGATTGAACTGACTTAGGATTGGTTTTTAGGGCTTTGCATGTGAGGAGGATGGGCTGTTCAGTGTGTAGCACTGCTGCCTTGCAGCAAGAAGGTTCCAGGTTTGATTCCTGGCCCAGGATCTTTCTCCATGTTCTCTCTGAGCATGAGTGGGTTCTCCCCAGGTACTCCGGCTTCCTCTCACAGTCCAAAAACCTTAGGTGTGTGTGTGTGAAGGGTTGTTTGTCTCTTTGTTGCCCTGCGATGAACCCCGCCTCTCGCCCATAGACCGCTGGAGATAGACAACAGCACCCCTAGTGGCCCCGCTGGGGATAAGCATGACGGAAAATGGACTTCTGTCCTGAGGAAACAGGTTTGAGCTCCACCGCTCTGATGAAACAGAAATGGACTTTGGTCAGAACCTTTCTGGAAGCTAACAGGAACTTTATTAAATCATTAATGGCCCTGCTTTTCTTCTCCATGATAAATCCTCTGCCTTGATCTCCACCCTGATGTCCTCCTGTGACCTGAACCTTCTGCAGATCCTCTTCATCCATGGACCTTCTCTTTGGTCCTCCTCTCCTCTGCCTGCCTCACCACCGTCTCTCTGGAGATGATCATCAGAGAGTTTCTGCAGAGCTTCTCCTCCTAAGGAGGTGCTGATACTGGATCCAAATCCAAACCAGTGCGGTTCTGGTGGCTCGTTTTGGGTCCTACGTTCCACACCCAGCAGCTCACAGAACCAACAGCCTGAATGGTCACTCTATGCAGAGGAGGATCTATCTGGAGGTGGACCTGCAGAACAGAGGAGCTGCTTCTTTATTCCACAGGTTCTCCACCAGTCCTGCTTCTCCAGAAGCGTCCAAAGTTAGTGCACGTTTTTTAAATACCAGTATAAAAACAAAAGAACTGGTAAGAGCAAAGATTGAACTTATAAAAACAGTTTTTGCAGAAAGAAATGGGGTTAATTTCCTTTAGCTCACTATGATGGTAGAACAGAACAAAAGCAGTCTAGTTTGGTTCCAACTTTAAATGTCAGGATCATAACGGAACAGAAGTCCTGCTTCCACGGCTGAGAGCTTTTAGAGTTCTGATATCAACATAATTAAAGTGAAACTAAACATAATCAGCACTGAATGTAAAATCTATTAAAGATGGAATAAATGGTGAATGTCTGTAATTCTGCTCCATCATCTGATCCGTCTCTCAGCCTCCAGCTCTTCATGTTTTCTATAATCTAAGGCTGGACAGATTATCCTCTTTATTTCCTGTTTTGTTCCAGATGTTACATCATATTTATCCAAATGAGCCAGTTTGGAAAACTTAAAGTAAAGATATTTGTGTTCAAATGAAAGGAGTAAAAGTCAGAACTAGAAATACTGAGCAAAGCTACTGAATAGATGCAGGAGTGTCTTTCCAGGGGCAGAGCTTCTTCTAGATGTTCCGGTTCTGATCGTCCAGAAGGACGTTTGGGTCAGAATCAGGAGAGTTTTTAATCTCATCGTGTTTCACTGTAATCTGGTCTGAAGGTCTCTGAGTCGGAGCAAAGTGGAGGAACATCAGAGCTCCTGCTTCAGCAATCACTGACAGAAGGTTCAAGGACCCAAATATCCCACAGCTTCTACTTCTTTTATCTCCTGACCTTTAGCTGCTGTACCAGAACTTATCTGCTGTTTTGGGTCGGCTGATTATGAAACAGATCCAAGGTGAAGTTTCACTTAGAAACGAGCAGCTTCTGCTGAGGCAGGGGCGGATTTAGGAAATCTGGGGTCCTAGGCGAAGACAGGCAGGGGGCCCTTTGAATGGAGAAGACATAAACAGCCCCATTCTCCAGATGTAGAGATGTTAATAGAATAGACATCCATTATCTGTTCTAGGTTGTGTCCCTCTCTTCTTGTCCCTTTTCTTCTTGTTTTCCTCTCTATGTTTTGTACTCAGCTGACTTTTCATGCTGTCTCTAAAGGAATG